ATGTTTTAGACTTAGGGTATTTTAACTCCATTCAAAGCCTGCAAAGTCGGAAGTGTACTCGAACAGTTGAGGAGCTTATCGACGCTGTGAAGAGCTCCTTTCATGAGTTGCCTCGTGACAATTTGTCTAAAAACTTCATATCCTTGCAAAAGGTCATGGAAAAGACACTTGAACACATGGGCAGGAACGATTACAAGATGCCGCATATGCATAAAGATGCAACCATCAAGGACTTGACTCTGTTTAATGTCCATTGTGATCCTCTTGCCCTCGAGAATGCTCAGGCGTACTTGAGTGGTAGGTGAATTACCAAGAATAAGTAGGTTTGGCAATAAAATAGATTTGTCATTATATTTCTGTCTTTGGTTCATACAATGTCAGAGTTCAATACAAACTTCAAGATATTTTTGGCCTCCTCCTCATACTTTAATCAAGACAAATAATGTGACTCTTTTTGTGGACCAGAGTAGTAAAACTTCGGCCAATAAGAGACATTTATGATTATTGTTATTTTTGCCAAAACACAATTCTTATAATAGACTACCAAGGCAAAGGATGACATTTGTACTCCATCAACAAGAACTCCGTTAACCATTTACCTCGGTCGTATCACATTTGGAAATTTGCCACAGTGAACCGAGGCGTAGGATGGAGTAGTTGATGGCCTTGGCAGCCCCCCGCCCGAAAACAAGTTTAAGACGAAGTTGCACTGATGGTGGCAAATAGGAAAATCTTGAATTGATGGGTTGATAGTGATTTGACTAAGCATCAAATTGACTAGACATCAACAGGCATCGAATTGACTAGACATCAAGTTTACAAGATATTGACTCCCCCTAAGAGCATCTCTACCGTACACGGAATTTGACCCTGAAACTGAATATTACTCAATGTCGATGATATTTTGACCCTGAATTTACCCCCACCCCACACTGAGTTCGACACTGAAACTGAGTTTCAGAACCCCGGGCCCTGAGTCTTGACCATTCCACACGGAGTTTTCACTAAAAACTCCGAGTCGAGGTTTTGCGCCGAATTAATCTAATAACAAGAAATTTGTATGGTATACAAACTAGTCTACACGAAATACTTTTTCGATTTTCTGTACGAAGATGTCGTTATCGATGAACGCCATGGAGACCGAGTTACTACTCTCCAAGACATGGGTAGCAGTGTCTGAGGATCGAATCAAGGGTAGTAACTCTGAGACGACAGCCCTTGTAATGCGCTTCATTGATTCGATGGCTGTCGATTCACCAAGGCGACGATAGTGAATCGAGTAAGCGCAGACGCATCGACGCAGTGCACTCCTGTAATGGCGACAGACCTATATTATCTTTTAAGCTCGTTGGTTTCCCGTTCTCTCCAAAGTAGTCGTCGACAATCTGCTGGTGCCCACCAGCCCAGTTCCGATCCAAGTTTGGCTGGCGACCGCGACGAGACCCGCTCCATGATCGTGAGTGCTCAACTGCAGCTAGGCGGACGGCTTCTTGGGCTGCCGTACTTATGATGACGTCGATTTCCTCGTCGGACGAATGCATCAGTTGATTCCACGACTGCATGAGTCGGCTACAGTATTGGGTGGACTTCGAAATGACCATGCATATCTCATCTATCTATTTATACTGTATTAATTTTCGCAGAATTGCGGTTAAAAGGTCAATGTCACGATGCGAACGAATATCCTTCACACTCAAATTTATTGAATTCAGTGCAGAATATGAAACTGAAAAGGACTCAGATCCAGGGTCAAAATCCGTGTTCCGGTGGAGATGCTCTAAGGCAAGACAGCCAAATATTCACAATTCGAATGTACTACTCTGGTCCGATATGTTTGTTCCAATTGTTTTCTCATTGGTGGCATTTTTCTAAAACGTGCTATTGGAAGCAGCGGATTGGTCCACAAGAAAGCGCAAGACCTCCACATTGATTGGCTAGTTTTTTTTTCTGTCCTTTCCGAATCGTTTTCCTCGAGAAATTACAACGCTTCAAAGTGAGCCCGTCAGGTCACGACATATAAATCCATCCGGGGAGCCACCACTACTCATTTCTCATTCTTCAAACATCGTCCCAAGCATAACTACCCCATCAAGTATGCCTGAGGTCCACACAGAGCTCACAGCATCGCACAACTATGTCGTGAGGACCGAAAGGAACCTTAAGCCTACCGAACGTCGCGCCGTGTATGAACAGCTACTCGAACGAAGTATTGGAGGCAAGCTTGCTTACGGAGCTATCCAAGATGTTGCACGTTGGTATTACTGCCATTCCAGGACCATCGCACGCATTTGGAAGGAAGGACGGCTCTCTCAGAGCCTTAGCCATGGACTTGCTGAGGTCGCAACAAAAATGACGGGTATTACCCCTTTAATTTAATATTCCATGTTCCAAATATCAACACATGTAATTATAGTGTTCTAAAGGTTAACTCGTTTAGGGAATTGTGGGCGCAAGAAAACACGAACCACCGAGGAAATCAAGGCCGCTGTTCAGAGTGTCCCTCATTACCAGCGGCAGACTCTGTGAGCTTTGGCTGCGAATAGCCAAATTCCAAAGACAACCCTCGTCCGCCACATGAAGGAGCAGAATAGCCTCAAGGCCCGGTTCAGCTACGTCAAGCCGATGCTGACCGACAAAAACACCCGCACAAGAATGGACTTCGCCAGGAGCTTCCTTCAACCCTTTTCAGATGGGACCACTGTTCTATCTGACAAGAGTCAAGAAGAAATTCTACGTATACGACGACGAGGAAGTCGCAGCCCGGTCGGTGAAGTCAAAGCACTTTATCACCAAGGTCATGTTTTTTGCCGCTGTAGCATGGCCCCGCTACGACCACACAAGGAAGACCTTCTTTGACGGTAAGATTGGCGTCTGGCCGTTCGTTGAAGTCGTCGCGGCCAAGCAAACAAGCAGGAACCGTCCCAAGGGCGCCCCCGTGACCATGCCTCAAAATGTCAACAGTGACGTTTACAAGTCGTTCGTGTTGGACAAGGTCGTTCCAGCAATTTGCTAACGATTCCCCGTCGGTGATCTGCGGCGATGTGTACGAATCCAGAAAGACAATGCGAGTCCTCACCGACATGTCACAACGGCGTTGCTACGTAGCTCTGGGGTACAAAATGTCAGTGTGATCAACCAACCGCCGAACAGTCCGGACTTTAATGTCTTCGATTTAGGGTTCTTTAGCTCTATTCAAAGTCTACAGCATCAAAAATGTACTCGAGCCATCGAGGAACTAATTGATGTTGTCAAAGCCGCGTTCTTTGAGTTGCCAATGGACACTGTGTCAAAAACATTCATAACCTTGCAAAAAGTGATGCAAACGTCCATTGAAATGCTGGGAAGTAATAACTACACGCTTCCTTGCATGAATAAGAACGCTACCATTGCCGACTTAGCAACGTATAATGTTCAATGTGATGCATCCAGTCTTGAAGGCGCACTACTTCAATTGGATCTTCGCCTTGGAGAAGAGTCTCAACTGGAGGAACTAGTGAATTCCCACCAGTAAGTGGACCTCGAAGTATAATAAAAATTCATTAAACTTATGTTGGTTGTTATGATATTTTAGAGTTCGATACAAAAGATAAGATGTTCTGGACATGCTCGGTATACTTAAATGAAGTCAAAACAAGCGGACAAATATACCGGACCAGAGTAGTAATCACAACTGACCGAACGAAGTGAAAGTACGAGACATCAATTCTCGGAAGATACCGAAAGTGAATATTTGCTTAGATTCAATCTAATCCAAATACAGTACAGTAATTGGCACCGAAATACCCAGTTCGAGATTGATATTTTGGGTTCTGGTCGGGTATTAATATTTGGTAGTATTACTATTATTAATATTTGGTAGTATTACTATTCATATCAGAAGTGTACTTTCAAATTCCATGACATCACACGCGTCGCCGACGTCCCTCGCGATGGTGCTGCTCTTAAAGTCTGAAGATGCCAAGTACGCTGAGCCCTTTCGAAGCCACGGATATAACATCGTGTTTTCGGACGTCCTCGCATTCTTCAATGAAAACGTCGACGCCCTGCACAAGGTTTGACTTCAATCCCGACACCCGTGATTCTGTCATCGCTGACTTGGTAGATTCTCCGCACCCTGGATCAATACGTCGGACTAATCATCACCAGTCCCCGTGCAGCCTCCGCCATAGTGTCGGTAGTTCGCTCGGTTGCTCGTGAAGAAGCACAAGAGCTTCTTGCGTCGTTGCAGCGTGTGTCCATCTATTCGGTTGGGGCAACCACGTCCAAACCGTTGCGAGAGCTTGGTCTGTCCTGCCTGGGTGAGGACTCTGGCTCCGCCGAGGTCTTGTCCACATTCATTGCCGACACCGGCAATGTCAATGGTCCAATGGTGTTCTTCTGTGGCGACAAGCGCATGCAGGCACTGCCGACGAGCTTCGATGGGCGATCCCAACGACTCGACGAACTCGTAGTGTATTCGTCGCGCCAAGTCGAAGAAATTGTATGGCTAAAGACCAACATTCCGCAATGGGTCGTATTTTTTAGTCCAAGCGGCGTCGATGCTGCGCAGCGCATGACAAACGTGCCGTGGGATACGATCAAGAAAGCGGCGTTAGGTACGAACGGCACAAATGACGGTGGAAATGTGGAATGACAAGTTAATGATTTGCATGTACTAGGCAAGTCCAGTGCGGCGGCCTTGGAGAAGGCGGCCCTGCTGCGTCACGACAAGTCGTGGGAAGCCAAGGCCGTGGCGGCAAAGCCGACGCCAGAGGAATTGGTCGCGGCGATTGTAGCGCACGATAAGCTGGCAACAACAAGCTCGGATTAATACGAAGTTATAGGTCTATTCGACGCCATAGCGCGCCTTCAATTGGGACAATTCCTGTTGCTTTGCATTGACGTCCATGCTCTTGTGAACGCGGCTCGCCTGGTAGTACAGTACCACGAGATACCGACCGCACACGTTGAACCCAGACAAGTGATCCACCTAGATACGTAGCATGGTTTGTCAGACCAAACTCCGAACAAGGATTGCGTCCTACCGCGTTCTTCGCATCATATATATCCTCATACACGACAAACGCAGTGCCTCGGGTCTCGTTTGCCACCCCTATGTGTGTTGTTCCTTCGTGAGAATATCCCATGGCGATGTACACAAAGCGAACACGTCTTACCCAAGCGGATCTGTCGAATGGCCCCGTACTTGCCAAAGATGTCGTACATTTCTTCGCTGGAAATCTTGAACGGAAGGTTCCGGACGTACAGCACGCGGTTCACTTCAGGTGGCAAGCGGGACTAAGACCAAGACACACGTCAGCCACATGACATCCCATGGGATCTACTTCGTGGGCCATCTACGTACGTTGGATCGGCGACCAAACGAGTTGGACATAGCGGACATGATGACGGTAATGTATGGAACAGGGAGAAGCGATCCACAAAACGCTGTCCGGATAAACATTATCCGGCACGGTTGTTCTGTGAATCGCCGCCGCCTCCTTCCCCGTCGAAGGAAGCTTCACGTACGTAGCATGGGTATGTGGGTATGTGTGAATGGAGCTGCAATGCATAGTAAGAAAGGGGCCCATTTGCCTTTCCACTTGTCCCTGTTGCAGGAATGGCAATATCGTAGCTACGACGACCACCTACCGTCGCGTAGTTGATGCCACCAACCCGTGTCACCTCGGTGTTATAACGGCATCGGCCGCGCAACGTTACTGGTTGAGCATGCGTTGATGGACCCGTCGTTCCCCTTCAATAGCCTTCAACGCCATGCGAATCCTGCAACCTTGTCAGCGAAACCAATGCATTCCGCGGGCGATACTGCTCACTGTGTAATTTTTGATCCATAACGTTATATAGTATATCGCATATCGACAAGTCACGTTACCATGCGCACAGCAACGAACAGGTCAAGCGTGCGTGCGTGCAAGGTATGCACGTTTAATGCCATGGATCGACGGGTCCATGGCGGTGTCGGGCGGTAACCAACAACTAGAGGGCATGCAATGATCTCATATGTGTGACACGTGCACATCCCACAGTATCGCTTTGGCGGCAGTACAGTAGATGTATGTATATATATATATATTAGTGCACATCTTCCAAATGTCGTTAACTGTGTTGACTGAGCGTGTGGTCATCTACACAGCATCCAATGTGTCAGATCGATCAAATGTTTCTCTCATAGAGTACCTCCCCCTCCTCCTCCTCCTCCATCGTGAAAGGCCTCGTCCAGCGCCACGCGCACCTTGGGCTTGCGGCGGTACGTGTACCCAATGAACTTGTTGTACTCGCCTTCTCCTTTGCCAGGACCTGCACTCGCTGCCGCCGCCGCTCCTCCTTCTACCTCTTCATTGTGGCCCAGTCCTTGGTCTGGAAACTCGTCAAAGTTGGCTGTGATTTGCTTGACGAGGGACTGGTACTGCGCGTCCGCCGGGTCTAAGTGCTGCAGCTTTTGCAGCATGTCTCGAAACTCGGCGCCGCCGCGCGACGGAATGTACGGCGACGGCTGCGTGCGCAGGGACCGCCACTCGATGCCGCGGAACCACGGATGCGCTTTGATGCGCGCCAGGTCCAAGCGCTGGTCGGCATTGCAGATGAGATGCCTTATAAAGTCGATGCAGTGGGGACTCAGGGTTTGGATAGCCTCGGCTGGAAACACCAGCGTTTGCTTCCAGCTCACAATCTACAAAATCGAATCAAAAACCCATATCCGTGACGAGATACCATCCACGGCAGTCAGAGTTGGTCGTACCTTGCGACATGTGGACATGGGGTCGTCGGCGTTGAACGGCGGGTACCCCACAAGGCACTCATACAAGATGACACCCATGGACCACCAGTCGCATTCTTGGCCATATCCCTGCTGCAGCAGCACCTCGGGAGCGATGTAGTCGGGAGTGCCTACGGTGCTAAACGCTACTTGGCGGTTGCGGCTGTACGGGCGACTGCGCTCGGTGATGGGGTGCCCTACCACATGGAAACAAACGAGATGGAGAATGTAGGTAGGTACTAGGTGGGAGAGTGTAGGTAGGTAGGTTAGGTACCTTGCGCAGACTCTGTCATCGTGTGGTTCGTGATAGGTAGCTTTTCCTGCTGCGCCATGTCCATCTTCTTGCACAACCCCAAGTCGGTCAACTTGATGTGTCCGAACGCGTCCAAGAGCACGTTATCGGGCTTGATATCGCGGTGAATGTACCCCAACTCGTGCACGGATTCGATGGCCATGACCATTTCCGCGGCGTAGAACCGCGTCGTGACCTCGCTCAGCTTGTCCTCCTTGATCAACAGGCCCATCAAGTCGCCGCCTGGAAGGTATTCCATCACCTGCATCATTCATCATGACTTGAGTGTCGCTACGAGGGAGGGGGGGTTACACAGGTGTACCATGTACAACCGACTTGTGTCTTGGAACGAATACTGCAACGTGACCAGCCACTGGCACTCGTTGTCCGCCATCGCAAGGATATCGCGCTCGGCCCGCACGTGACCCACTTGATTCTTCATCACCATGGAGCTTTTCAGCATGCTCTTCAATGCAAACACTTCGCCTGAGTCCTTCTTCCGGACGAGCCGGACTTCGCCGAACGCGCCACGTCCCACGACGGCCAGAGACTGAAAGTCCTGTATCGTGAGTCGCTTGCGTTGTTGCCGCATGTGGCTTAGTTCTTGGTTGCGCAATTCCGCGCGGTACGTTTCCTTGGCAGGTTCGCCGAGCTTGAGGTTTTGCATCTTCTGCTCCAAGATATTCCGGCGCATGCGGCTCTCCTCGCGCTCCTTCTTCATGATGGCGTACTTTTGCTCCAGGTACGCCTTAGTCACGCTCGCCTTCTCGAGCGTCTTGGAGCTGATCTCGTCCATGTTGCACCTCTTGCTCAAAATCCTACTGCCCAAAATTTCAGTTTTGTCGCCGTATCCGGATGACAACCTACATCCGGTAAAATTTCAAAGTCGAAACCGCAAATTGCAGAGATGTACGGTGACGTGGAGGCACCCGTGGGCAGTTCTCGGCGGCCATGGGTTAGTCTGTAGGGAATATGCACACAAGATGCCTACCGTAGTCGTCGCCAACGACCTTCCATCGCGCACCTCCTACTCACCAGCAAGGTAGAAGTAGGATGTACGATGTGCAAGGTGTGACATTCGAATGGATACAGTGCGCTTTCACTCGTAATGTCCCCTGCTGGTTCGTCAAGAGTTGGGCGTGGTAACGAGTCAGATGCAATGCCAGCACCAACGTCGTGAAGGGGTGTGCGGTCCCGGCACTCGAGAGAGTTAGAGAGGGTGTGATCCAAACTCCAAGTACTAGTAGTACTGAAGGTGGAGGAAACGACATTGTTTTCAATTGGCTATCAAACGATGAACGTCGTGCTGTTCCCATGATCTAGTGCTTCTGGGGCTATGCTAGAGGTACTGTTCAATGGTGTGCACCGCCGTAGAGACCACCGCAATAGCCACGATCCAACCCCCACAGGAACAAGGACTTCCAGCACGAGGTAGAGCCAATATGGAAGGGCAGGGGTGGACCCAAACGGCGCGAACCAGAGCCCTCGTCGGAACGCATCGCGAAGCTGATGGCTCGTTAAGCACACCTACGAGGAGATCGATCCATCTCCATCATCCAAATCGAAACGAACTCGTACGAATAGCAGCGCCGCCCCGCGCTGGTTGAACTTGGCTGGCAGCACCATCCATGCGACTGCGGCCACCACGATGATAAAGGTCACCGAGTGACCCCATGGACGAGCCTAGTGGATGTTGTCACATGACGAAGAAGAATCTACACTCGGTACATCAAGAGACGTCGCAGCGCGCAAGCTGATTGCATGCGCAGCGAGGAAGTGGTCAGCATCTAAGAGACTCCCGGCGGCGACGGCGCAAAGGGCTTCCGGGACCATCCTGTGGGGAAACATGGACACATGGGATGCGATGGTCCACGCCAGAAGCGACACCGTCGAGTGCGTCGCGTTGTCGACAAGACCCCAAAACAGCCGACTGTCATGGAAGCATGGTCTGATGGAACGAAATCAGGATCACGGGATGAGTTGTAGCCGTACCGTCGATGCAATAGGAGGTCCGACACGATGCAAAGCACAACCAAGAGAGTCGACACGTAAGTTAGGAAGGCATGTCTCCGTCGACATCTTGCTTGACGCGACAAGCATGCAGGCAGTTCAATCACCTGCGGTCGGTGTGTCACGAATTGCCGGTTCCGACACGACTGCAAGAGAGGTCTACCCGGAAGGAGATCAAATGCAGTACCTCAACAACGTGTACCTTGCTAGGTGAGAGTAGTTGACGTGGACGCCGATAGTGACCAAGATACTCATCCAGCCAAGTGCCGCGGCGTCAGCGCAAATCGGCGTCGGCATGAGTTCAAACTTGTCAAATTGCAAATACTAACTCTGAGTATTCATTATTAGAGGGTACCAGTTGTAGCAGTATTGGGGTAAAACTATGTTTTAAAGGTACAGTATTCACCTCGTTAAAGAGGCTCATGCCACGAGGGCGGCACTTGTCCGCGGCGGAGCAAGCGACGATGCTGGCGATGCATCAAAGCGGACAGACCCAGAAAGAGGTTCATTTGACGTAGAAAACAATGGGTATCATGATTGTAGATCTCTGAAGCGACTGGGCGTGGCAAGAGCGTGGTGCGAACGTTCTTGGCCAGCCCAGACACGTACGGCAGCGCTAAGCGCCAGGGCCGGCCGCGAAAGTTGAGTGCGCAGATCGAGGAACAGATCCTTGACGTCGGATGGACGAAAAAGCTCTTCGCTCGCGAAATCATCGAGCACCTTGGACTGCATGGAGTGAGTGTGCGGCATGTGCAACGGTTGTTACTGCACGACAAGCGGCGACAGGAGAAGCACGCGCAAACCAACCACCTGCCCCCTTCTTCCGACGAATCCCCGCCGCCCGCGAGACCCTCGTCCTTGATGCTGTCCATGTCCGACGTCGACGACGATGATGCCACGGACGGCGGTTTGCACGAAGTCTCCGACTCCCTTCGCCTACTCGACGACGATATCTAGACACCCTCTCCTTATCCGTGTAATATATTATGACGCGACTCTACTTGAAGTATCTACTAACGACGCAAACATCCCGTTGGGGTATGCCGCCAGCAGTTCGTGCGGCGGCCCGGCCTCCACGAGCCGCCCCTTGTCCAACACGAGCACGACGTCGTACTCCATCAAGTGGTGCACACGATGGCAGATGGTCAGCACGGTGCGCGGCAACGCAAAGAGGAGGCGGTGGATCGCGCCGTCGGTTTCGGCATCCATGTAGGCCGTGGCTTCGTCGCAAATGAGGACATGCCCATGTCGTAGTAGCGCGCGGGCGACACACAGCAGCTGCAGCTCGCCCCCGCTGAATGCCACGTCAGTCAAGGGGGTGTCGAGACCGTTCTGGAGTTGGTCGACAGCATCGAGCATCCCCACTTGGCTCAACACTTGAGTCACGTGTGCCTATTATATAGCCCATCACTCAAGAGAGCGCTCGATGGTGTCCAGTATTACCTTGGATTGGGCAACATCCCCGACCAACCCTTCCCACAACGTTTGCCCAAGCAGCACGGCGTCCTGTGGGATAAATCCCAACACATGTCGTCGCAACGTGGTCGTGGACAGGGAAGACAAGGCCACAGTGCCCAATTGAATCGACCCGTGGATAGGATATAGCCCCAGCAAGGCGCGAACGAGGGACGATTTCCCCGCGCCCGTCCGCCCGACCACCGCGACCTTGGCATGTGTGGGGATGTCCACATGGATATCTCGAAGCACGACGTGGCCGCCGTACGACATGGACACGTGGTGGAAGTGCAATGTGCCGTCGCCAAACCTCACGTTGGCTTCACGGTCCAAGCGTCCAGACTCTGGTGGGTCCTCCTTGTAAAACTCGGCTTGGATCGTCAGCTCATCCAGCCTCTCCAGCGCCACACACTCGACTTCGATGGCGGCTAGCATCTTGAGCATCCACCCCATGCGACCCGGCAGCTGCGCCGCGTACGTCAAGACGACCCCCACCCCCGACGCATGCAGCTGATCCGTCGCTCGAAGCCACACGCAGGCCGCCGCCGCCGCCGCGACGATTCCAATGCCGAGCAGTTCAAGCCACAACGTGACCCACTGGTTGGCCACGAGGCTCGGCCAGTACGCCTGCACGGACGCATCAATGACGCGCATGGACGTGGCGGAGACGGCGGCGGCGGCGTCGAATGCTGCGACAGTGTTCACGCCCTGCGACACTTCGTTGAAATGGGATAAGATCGGCGACCGCGCGGCGCTTTGCAGCCGCTTCAGATCGCGCGCCGGCCACCGGTACAACTTGTACAGGTACATGTACGGGTACACGAGCAGAAGGACGACGGCGAGGACGAGCGGCGCGGTCGCCGCCACGGCCACGAACGACATGACAATGTCCAGTCCGTTGGCCAAGAAACTGGACACGACGTACGGAATGGTCTCGTCTACAGATGCAACGTCTGTGATGCATCGATTGAGGATGACGCCGGGGGAGGTGGTGTCGAAGAAGCGCATGCTGGCGCGAACCAGCGCCCTGACGACGGACATGTGGACGGACGCAGACGCGGCCAGCGACAGGACCACGAACAGCACCTTCCGGACGACCGATGTACAAGCTTGGACGAGGCCGAGCACAATGAACAGCGTTTGAAACGAAGTTGCTTTGGAGGACGACATGTCGTCGTCGCTGCTGTGGCTCCACTGGCCCAGACAGTACGCCCCACCCAACACCAACCCATGCTCCACCGCAAACAAAAAGCCGCAGCCCGCCACCGCACACGGAGACCCCAGCGACTTGACGTACAGCATCAAGATGCGCAGATCCAGGGCGCCTTGTCGCGATGTTTCGGGGACGGCAGGCTCGTGGGGGGCGTTGCGGACCACGACCTCCCTCGTCTTGCTGTCGTCGGGGCTGCTCTCACCGAGTCGCTCTGCGAGTAGAGGCAATGTGCTGTTTCTGCGATGCCGTTTTCCGGTACTTGGTGGTTCCGTAGCTGCCGTGGAATCGATCGACGCGCCCTCCGATCGTTTGAACACGGACGGAGCCAGCGACTGCACTGTAAATTCACCGCGCATGGCAGAATCATTGGCATGTTCGAAGCACAAGACGCGATCGACGGCCGCGTGCGCGATGAACGCCGGCTGGTTGGTCACCACGACCTTGGTCATGTACATCAAGGCGGGGCTGCAAAGGCACCGCGTAAAGATGTGATCGCCGACATGCGAGTCCAAACTCGCGAGCACGTCGTCGAGGAGTAAAATATTGCGACGGGAGTAGATGGCTCGGGCTACAAGCATGGGTATCAATCAAATGACCTATACTAGTATATGTATCTAATCATAGACCACCCTCGCTTTGATCGTACGCGATTTCTTTCCACTTGATTCACTTCCATGTGTCCAGAGGACGTACCGAGAGCAACGCGGTGCTTCTGTCCACCAGACAAGGCACCTCCCTGGTCGCCAGCGACGGTCGCATCTCCATGTGGCCATAGCGCCAGGTCGTCGTCTAATGCACACATGTGCAATGTCATCTTGTACCACATGCGATCCATGGGTAAGCCAAACAGGATGTTGTCTCGTACAGACGTGTTTTGAATCCATGGCGTCTAACATGATGATATATATATATATAGATCGTCACATTGCCTTGTTTGGAGATATATATATATCTATACCTGTGGACAGTACGCCACGGTGCCGTGCACGAGCACTTGGCCAGCAGAAACGGGGAGCATTTGCACACACAAGTCGAGGAACGACGACTTGCCGCACCCGACGGGGCCACAGCACACGACAAACTGTCCTTTGGGCACGACCAGCGTCAACTCGGCAAACAACTGTCGGCGTTGGACCTGGTGATTGTTGGCATTGTCACCATCGTGACCATCTTCCGTGTTGAACGTCGTCACATTCCAGCTACACGTGACGCTCTTGAGTTCAATCGCGTGGTACAAATGGGTGGACACGACACTTGACGAAGGGCGAGATGCTAGCCCATCCCGCCGTTCGCTGCTCCGAAAGAACGCTTCCAGTCGATTCAGTGACACTGTCGCGTCGACGACGGTCGTGAGTCCCTTGGGGAGGCGCAGCAACGGACTGGCGGCCGTGCTGAACCACGCGAGGGCGGAAAACGCTGTTGCAGCGTCCAAACGGCCGCCTTGGACATGCACAAACACGACGAACGAGGCCATGGGCGCGATGACTTGGGCTACGACCAGCACGCTCGTGTTGAACGTACCGTGAATGGCCTTCCACTGGAGCGCCTCCAGCTCGCGGCGTCGGGCGGCGTCCAGTCGGCCCTCGCACCACGCGTCGTACGCGTTGGCTTTCATCGTGAGCACCCCGCGAAGCATCTGCGTGAAGACGGACGTCCGGGCGTCCCGACGGTGCTGGTGCGCGGCGCTGTGGATTTGGATACGTCGGCCAAAGAAGGCGGCACAGGGGGCGTACAGCAGCGTGACGATGAGCCACACCAACGCCGAGTACGACAGCAGGTCGAAGAGGAAGCACACGCACACGCTTAGAGTTACCACGGCGCTCCACGTGTCCCAGTGGACAAAGCACACGACGTAGTTGTCGCAGATGCGCGTCGCGTCCACGGCCAAGAGGGCGTGGACGTGGCCGGCGATGTGCGACACGGTTAACGCCTTTTCAAACACAAACTGCTGCAGGATTGACCGTGTGTGCATGCCACAACGCACCGCGACCGACCAGAATTGATGCACAAATACGCAATTCACGACCAGGGCGACGCACCAGAGGGCGGCGAGGCCGGCGGCGTGCCCTGCGTCCACCGACGGCGACGTCAATGCCTGGAGAAGACCATGCAAGAGCAGCGGGTTGGCAACGTTGGTCGCCGTGACCACGAGCATGAGCGCGGCCGAGTGGTAAAACGTGCGCCAGCACACCGCGTGGAGGTGACGGGGCAGACTGTGGGCAGGAAACTGGGCCCAGTGCCGGCGGAAGGCGGCGACGAGGGTGGCGGTGCCGTCTGTGGGGTGCAGGGGCGGCAGGTCCTTTGTCGTGATGGACTGTTGCGCGTAGCCACGGCTCAGAAGAGGCCAAATCCAGAGAAACAAGAGCTGGGAGAGGTACGATGCATCCGCTTCAAGAACATGGGGACGACGTGTGGAGTTCGAGTGCCGGCGATGGGCTACGAATGCCAACACGACTCGCACAACGAGAAAGATCGTGTCGGCGATGAGTGCCACGTCCGTCAGTGACAACGGCTTGTGGCTAGCCATGTTGACGAAGACCACACTGCGAGTGACCAGGTCCAACGATAACAAGTAGCAACATGAACGCAACACGTGAGGGACGAGCAGCACCGCCAGCGCTAGATATACGTATGATATAGCTCATGGAAGGAATAAGGGAGGCATGGCTACTGTACCTGTGTGTGCGCCGTCCACGATCCACAGTGTACCTAGGACATTGAGATAAATCCAACGAGCTAGGTCGAGGGTGTACTTGTTTGTACCTGCATAGACCTGGCACGGATACAACGGCCGCTTGAGACCAGCAAGGAAAAGACTACCGCTCACTGCGATGAATAAACTGAAGCCCGCAGCAATGAGGTGCAGTGTGCCGCGTCGACCGAGTAGTCGACGGGTAGCCGACGACGACTGCCATGCAATGACTGCGCTGCAGAGGAGAATGCCGAGTTTCCACACTGGCGACACAAAGAAAGTCGCCTCGACGCATGTACTGACATGTCCTAGATGAGTCTGCGTCAACTCATCCAATGGCCCGCACCACCACCGCAGTAAGGTTGTCATACGACTAGAACTGGATTGGGATTGATCGATCTTCAATCAGAGGCGACCAATTACTACTTGTAGACGCTAGGCAGATGTGAAGTTATTCGTAGTCCAAAAATCCAAATTTCTAGCAAAATGATATTTCTTGAATATATGGCATCTAAAAAATACACCTCAAGGGATCTTTTTCGAAATACCATTTTTGATTGACGGAACATACTGTACATCTTTAAATTACGCCATTTTGGGGCCGAATTCAACAAATCTGATCAAAATTGAAACGTGTCTTGCTTGAAGAGTTTTAACCCAAATCCAAGAATTCGACGTGGGATTTACTCCTTGAGGAGGAACTCACAGTATTACAAAATGGACCTTTTATAGGGGATTAGTTATGTCCGCTAGCTCCAAAAGCAGCTAGTACGCGGCCGAGGCCATTAAGTGCCCGCTGAGTGACCTTAACTTTACAGCGTAATATCAATATCAACAAAATGGACCTTTTACCTTCATTTTGAAAATGACAGTTTTGGTTTATCCCATTGTGGCAGAAATATTTTTGAGACACACCCTAGGTTTCAAAGTTATAGTATACTGTACCGTACATCCTAATAGGTAGATCAAACAGATTTCGAGATATTTGGCAAAATACTGAATTCTAGAAATTTTGAAGATAATGTTTCATTTTTTGCCGATTTCTTAGAAATTGCCAAAATATCGAAGATTTTGTCCATTTTTTGACATCCAGACTCGCCCTTACTGTTAATTCAAAATTCGAGGGTATTTTTTAAATCCAAATATTCCCGCTTGTCGTTAAGCCAAGGGAAATATTCTATTTTTGAATATCCAATATTATGATATGTCGTTCAAGCGAGGGATTTTCCCATTGGTGCGCGCGCAATTAAAATGGCAATCACAAAACCAACTCGACCAAACACCTTTCCGCATCATGAGTCAACCATGCCTACGCAACATGAGCTGCAAGTGCCCGTTGTGCATGGGCGAGGACGTGTCTGCGCTCCTCGCCATGACCAAGACGATCTCTTCCAACATCACATACACCGAAGACGACGATGAAGTGCAGCCGCCGCCCGCGACGAAGAGTGGATTCATGGCCAATTCTCCTCCCAAAAAGCCTGCCGCGGCACCCCGTCCTTCTTTGAAGTCCCGCATGGCGCCAAAACAACCAGTCGTCGAAAAGCTGCCTCCACTCGACTTTCAGGACGTCGACATGGGAATAACTTCGGCGCCATCTATCCTTATGGCGGCTGAAGGGCCAACCCCCCCACCCATCTCGTCAGGCGGAGAGGCACCCCCAGAATTTGCAGGCGACGTCCCCACCCGACGTCCGGCGAGCAGCGACGATCCGCCTTTGCAGATGGAGGATGTCGAAGCCAAAGTCGCCGACAAGAACTGGAAAGTACGCAAAGAAGTGTACGATGACTTGAAGGCCGCGTTCGAGTCCGGTCGTGCCATCGAAGGCGGTAACGTGACGGAGTTGTTTGGCAAGCTCGTAGACGACTCGAACGCCGCCGCGATGGAGTGCGGCCTGGCAGCGGTGCTCGCGTACGCAGTGCAAGTCAGTCCCCAGCAGTGGAACAATGCGATTGTGGGGAGGGTGCTGCCCAAGGTCGTGGACAAGGGCTTCTCCGGTCGACCGGGGTCGGTGAAGCTGGCCGAAGAGCTCGTGCTCGAGTTTGTGCATCTGGGCAGCGCCGAAGACACGATAACGGCGCTACTGGAAGGCACCAAGAACAAAAAGCCCAAGGTGCCGCCGCTCTGTGTCAGCTCCATCTTGGAGTGCTTCAAGGCGTTTGGGCCACGCGTGGTGCCCGTGGTGGCCGTCAAGAAGGAGCTCAAGGCGCTGTGTGAATCAACGGTTAACAACGTTCGCCCCAACGCTCTCAAACTGATCGGGGAAATGTACCGATGGACTGGCCCCACGCTGGTGCAAGACATCGTCGCGACGTTACGACCCGCCCAACAGACCGAATATGAAGCCATGATCAGCGAGATTTCCCCAGGGCAAGCCGTCCCCACGCGCTATGTAAAGGGAAAAGAGCCCAAGCCAGCGAAATCGGCGGCTACTGGGTCGACCAAGGCTGGCAAAGGAGGCGCCGCCGCTTCCGCTCCAGCAGGAGGCGGGTCGTTCGACCCGCGGGAGTTTGCAGAAACGATAAACCTTCTGGACCTTCTCCCCAAGACGGAATTCAAAGCCAAGATGGCGCTGCCCAAGTGGAGCGAAAAGGTGGAAGCCCTCAAGATCATCTTGGACATTGTCGGGTCCGTGCCCAAGCTCGCGACGGGCGACTACGGCGACTTGGTGCAGACACTCAAGCTGTGCACACAAGACGCGAACGTCAACATCGTGGCCAAGTCGATTGAAGTGCTGGGCGTGCTGGCGGACGGCCTCCGCCGCCAGTTTGCGCAGTACGCACGCATCCTGTTGCCCGTGTTGCTGCGAAAGCTGTCGGATAAAAAGTCCAACGTGCTAAGTGCGACCCACCAAGCGCTCGACTTGTTCCAGCAGCATGCGCTGCCTATCGATGCGATGATGGACGAGCTCAAGTTGACCATCGAGGCCGGGACCAACAAAGTGCCAGCGTCCCGCGCCCAGGGCGTCGTCTTCGTCGAGCGCTGCATTGCCAAGCAAAAGATCAACGTGTCGGACGCGGCGCTCATGCGGACGATTGGCGAGTTGTTTGCCAACTGTATTGAAGACTCGGACCCGGGGCTCAAGAAGGCGGGCGTCGAGGCCATGGTCACCCTCGTCACGTCGTCGCCGCAAGCCGGTCGCATGATCAAAGCTACGCTGGACGTACTCGAGAAACGCCAGCCGCGAAGTTTCAAAGTGATCGAAGCGGCGATGGGTACGTTCTTTCAACTCAAAACGACTGGTGATTGATAGTGTATGATGAGAATAACTTTAGATTGGACTCATATACAAGTGTATGTTGATGTGTAGGGGAAAGCAGCAGCAGCAGCGGACCGCCGCCGTCGTCCGTCCCAAAGCAACCAGCGAGTGCGATGCCGAAACCGTCGACGGCGACATCCGTGCCGAAAAAGTTGCCGTCGGCTGGCCCGTCCGCGCGCGCCAACTTATTGAAAAAGCAGCCGTCGGCCAGTTCCAGTGGTGGGGCGACGTCGCAACAACCCACGAAAGCCACCGCCGCGACTGGGAAATCGACGTCGGAGGTCATCACCATGTCCCCACAAGAGGCTGAAATGCAGCTGGAAGCGTTGGCCCTGGACGGATGGAGGTCGAACATCGTGACGAACTTGGAAAGCGCCAAGTGGACGGACCGCAAAGCCGGCTTTGAGGCTCTGGAAGAAGTGTTCAAGCTCGTGTCGTCCGATGTGGCGACGGCGAATCTGGACGCTGTCGTCGTGTACGTGAGTTCCCAGTCCAAAACGTTCAAAGAGTCCAACGTCCACGTGCTCAAGAGCGCCTTCCAAGCGATAGCTACCATTGCGTCGTTGTGCGAGTCGATGGGGTTGGGGGTCTTGTCGGCGGTGGTACCCCCCGCGGTGGACAAGATGGGCGACCGAAAGGTCAGCGAGACGGTGCGTCCCATGTTCCTGGCGCTGGCCGAGCTCGTCGGGCCGGCATCCGTTCTGGCCGCGATCTTTGGGCACATGCCGTTGGTCAAGACGCCCCTGGCGCAGTTGGAGTGCCTCGAGTTCGTCCGCGAGTGCGTCGGCGAGTTTGGCGTGTCCACGTGTAACCCCCGCGGGGTCATCGAGTACGCCAAGGGTCCGTTCGGCATGGAGTCGATCAACCCCAAGACCCGCATGTCGGCCATCGCCGTCTTTGGCGCGTTGTACGGCCAGCTGGGGGACGCCATGCGGCCGCTGCTCAACCTGGACGGGTGGAAAGCGTCGCTCAAGGATAGCGTCGAGGCCGAGTTCGAGCGCGTGGGGTTCAGTCCGAGCTCGTTTGCGGCGTCTCGGGTGGCCAAGACGTCCGAGGGAGGGGGTGCTGCGTCGTCTGGGTCGCTGTTTGGCCGTGTGGACGTTAGCGCCAAGATTACAAAGGAGTTGCTGGCGGACATGGCCAACGAAGACGACAAGGTGGCGTGGAAGAAACGGCTGGATGCGATGGAACAAGCCCAGCGGATCTGCGAAGAAGCGGGCTTGTCGATCGAGTTGACCAAGGGGGTGATGGACCTCACCAAGTCACTCAAGGCGCGACTGAGTGACTCAAACGCCAACTTGAAGACCAAAGCTGTGCAGGTGATTGGAGTCGTGGCCGCCAGTGTGGGGCCATCCGTGGCCAAACTAGCCAAGCTCGTGGGCGCAAATCTCGTGGTGGGGGTCGCGGACAACAAAAAGGCGATGCAGCAGGCGTGTCTGGACTCGTTGCTCAAGTGGGTGGTGCACGGCGACGTGGCGTCTGCGAGTTGCTTCGAGTCGTTGCTGCCGTTCGTGGCGGAGGCGCTCAAGAACCCCGTCGGCCGCGCCGAGCTGCTCGGGTGGACCGTCGAGATGACGCAGATGATTCCCACCAAGATGGATCTGCGCAGCTTGGTCGAAAACACGATCGACGCGCTGTCGGACAAGTCGACGGACGCGCGCGAGAAGGCGCAGCTGCTCCTCGTCGAGGTGTTCAAGAGCGTGGGAAGGGACGCAGTCGTAGGCGGGTGTCGAGACATCTTGCCGGCCAAGATGCGCACGCTCAAGCCGATCATTGACCGCGCGGCCGCCACCGCATTTGGAGGTGGGGATGTTGTTGAAGGCAAATCAACCAAACCCCCTGTCGCCGCCGCTGTGTCCTTGTCTTCTTCTTCCTCTCTCGTGCGCGCCAACAGCGCGGTCAGTGGTGGACGCACAGCGGCGCCTTCGCAATCCCCCAAAGCAAACTTGTCCCGCACGACGTCGTTGACGGCCAGTGCATCCGTCGTGGTGGCTGCTCCGTCGACGACTAGTGCGGCAGCGCTACTGATATCAAGCGACAAGCTAACTCGCCTCGAACGGCACCGCAAGAACAAGTGGGTGTTTGACGCTGCCGACCCCGCCGAGCTGCTCGCCAGGAAGGGTCAGCTGGAAACCGAATGGTCGGGACTCGTGCACCCGAGTTTGCGGGTCAAGTTGTTTGCCGTGTCATATGAAAAGGTAGGGTGTATTGTGTAGTACGTATTGATTTTGATTTGGGGACGTGTAGGGCATGATGCAAGCGATCGACGACCTGTCGGCATGTGTGACATCGCAGCCAGACGAAGTATTTCATTCCCTCGACTTGATCTTGAAGTGGTCGACGCTTCGTATCGTCGACAACAACGTGCAGGCGCTAGGTACGACTGACTGCTCCCACACTATTATTGTGCTTTCAAGTGAAATTTCATTGTGTTGTTAATTTAAATCGATTTGATTGGCTACCTGAGCTCAAAATTATTAGCCAATCAAAACCTTCTCAATGAAATTCAACCAATCAGATCGATTGTGGTTCAGGTTTAGTTGGCGCGATTCGGTTGCACCCGCCCCCTCCCCAAATTTGTATCAAATCGACAATATATATTGTCGTTTTACCCAAAATTTGGCTAACTTTTGGGCTGAATCGGCAAATCTATCTCGATCATCGATATTCTCTTTGTTACTGAATGTTGTATATAAAAAGGTGTTGTCGTGTGGTGATATTGGAATCATCACACTAATTGAAGTCACACACTAATTTGACGTTGTTGTTGATGGTTGTTTCCTGCAATCTGATTGGCTCAATCGTTCGTTCGTCCTCTGCCGATACATTCTTGTGTACATTATCTGGCCTTTGTGTGTCGATATATTCATTCTCCTTATGTCGCTCCATTTGTTTTAGAGTATAAACACACAAAACAGTATATCTAATATATGAACTCGGGTAGTGAAAATGCTCGACTTGCTGGTCAAGCTGTTTCAGATGCTGGTCCAGTTTGGCTGGGAGTTGGACGACGTCGAAGCGGCCTTGTTTCTGCCCTACTTGTGCCAGGAGTCGGGCCAGCAAAAGCCGCGCTTCCGCATGCGTTTCCGCGACGTCCTTCGGCTTGTCGTGCACGTGTACCCGTCGGCCAAACTGACGCCGTACCTGCTCGAGTGCATCACCAACTCGAAGAACTCAAAAAGCCGCTCCGAATGTCTGGATTTGATCGAGTTTATCGCCGATACCAAGGGCCACGCCGCCGTGGGCCGCAAAACCCTGCGGGACGTGGGCAAGTACGTTGACTGCGCCGAAAAGGAGGTGCGGGAGAGCGCGATCGGCGCCGTTGTCAAGATGTACACGCTCATGGGCGACCCCAGCACGGACCGGTTCTTCACGCTGTGCAACATCACGAGCCAAAAGGCGATGGACCTGGTGCTGCAAAAGGTCAAGTACCTTCCCCCCTCAACTACCGCAGCAACGACGACTACTACTACTGCAGGCACCCATCGAGTCTTGACGATGCCCAAACCCACTACTCCGGCCTATCAACGGTATGCGTCGATGCCGTTGGACGAACCAGCGCGGGAGCCGCCTCTGTCCACGGCATACGAAGCCCCGCCGCCGGCTCCGTCCATGTACACGACGACTCGACTGGAACGACCGGCGACTCCGCTCAAGTACCAAACGACCACGCCGATTCCGTCGGCTTTATCTGCGTACCCGCCAGGCTACGCGCAGCCGCCACCCACGACGAGCCCCTCAATCAGACTTCCTCTTCCGTCGTCGTCGTCGGGGTTGAAGCCACCGCCGACCCCCACGACGTACACCAATCCCCCCATCACGCCCGCGTCGACGCCGTACCGAAGCGACTTTGGCTCGACCCGCACCGACATGCGGACGCTGCTGTTTGTGCCGCTGGAGCGCCTCTTGGTGAACCCGAAGGAACTGACGGTCAACTTGGACGCGTTTGCAGCCGGAAAGGACGCGCTCAAGTCGCTCTACGCCCTCTCGGCAACCGGGGACGACGTGTTCATTCAGGAAAACGTCAACGAGATCCTCGTCCGGGTGTGCCAGGTACTCGGCGCAGCGTTAGGCGCCCACATTGAGCTCCATATCGTGTCGCTGTGCGTGGCGACCATCTCGAGCATCTTCCGGCACGCGGCGTACGTGGGCCGCATCGAGCGCGTGGCCATCGAGCGGGTGCTGCTGGAAGCAGGTGCGGGCTTCTTGGACCCGCGCCTGGACGACGTGGAGGCGACCTTGTCCAACCGGATCATGCTCGCGCTCAACAAGCTCATCATGACGACGGCGTACGCGTTGCGAATTGGCGAGGTGTACCCGGCCATGCTCCATGTGCTCGAGCGCATCGTGAGTGGCAAGGCAGGCGAGTACCAGAAGCACGACGCGGACAACAAGATCGCCGGCCAGCCGACGCTGGGGCAGTTGCTTGCAAAGCTGCTCGTCAAGACCACGAGACGGGAGCTGACGCTGCCGACGCCATTTGTCCATGTGGATGTCGCCGACATATTGCACACAAAGCATCGAGTTTTCACGACAGTGTCCACGGACGCCGAGGTCAAGAACGCGATGAAGACCAGCTTGAAGCACGCAGCGGATCACTGGAACTCGGATGGTCGCCGCCCGGCCTTCCAGCGGGCGCTGGACGACCTCCCGATCGCGTCGCCAATCCACGGAATGCTCATGCAGATGCTGCCGCTCGTGTTTGCGGTGCCGTCCCCTGACATGGTGCCCCGCCGCCTGAACGACGCTGTCCATAAGTTCTCGACGTCGACGGACCCCGCCGCCAAGCTGCAGGCGACGATGGCCATGGTCGAAGTCAAGGTGGACTCGGCCGGTACGCCGATCGAGATGGACGGCGCGAGGAAGGCGGAGCTGCGGCAGACGGTGGATAAGCTCGACATGACTTCGTACAATCGAACGAGCGCGGCGTTGACAGACTCGGCGATCAAGTCGGCGCTCTCGCGTGCCAATATCTTCAAAGACCGGAGCTTGGAGTTTAGTAGCGCCGGTGGTAGTAGTAGTACTACTACTAGTAGTAGCACCGTCAGTGGAGCGCCAGGGACAGAGTCGACCGGGGGTGACCTCCCCCTAAAGTCGATGGCGTTGATGGATTTGAAGCAGCGGCTCGGCCGCATTCAAATGAATTGATGACGAATCAATACTATTTTTACCATTTAACGTATATTCTCTTTTGAATCAAGTACGGTTTGAAGTACTAGTTAGTATGGGAGATAGATATATCGGTACGAATTTCCGGACCCCGTTCAATCGAATCTCGTCGACCGAATCACAGGAATGCATTTAAATTAGAACCCTTTATTGTCGATTTGATACAAATTTGGGGAGGGGGTGCAATCGAATCGCGCCGACCAAACCGATCCACAATCGATCTGATTGGTTGAATTTCATTGATAAGGTTTTGATTGGCTAATCATTTTGAGCTCATCTGAAGTAGCCAATCAAATCGATTTAAATTCCAACGAGAAACCACGCCACAACACGAAATTTCACTCGAAAGCACAATAGTATAGATAATCTATTTTTCTCGTGTTGTCAAAATATAATCTATTTTTTCAAACATGAAAGGCAACGAATATGAATATCAAATATACTACTAGTATAGTGTGCTTTCGAGTGACATTTCATTGTGTTGTGCGTTGGAATTTAAATCGATTTGATTGGCTACCTCAGATGCGCTCAAAATTATTAGCCAATCAAAACCTTCTGAATGAGTTTCAACAACCAATCAGATTATCGATTGTGGATCGGTTTGGTCGGCGCGATTCGATTGCACCCAAATATTTGTATATCAAATCGACAATAATAGTGACTGCAATTACTGTATTTTGCTGGTACAGTATGTAATTTTATTGCTGCGAGCATTGCTGAGTCGTCGAGTCGTCCGCGGTTGACGGGTGGAGGAGGACACTGTCGGGCCTAGTGTTGGGGGAGTTGGTTATGGCGGCTGGCGACGACGTTCGACTTCGCTTGGCGCCGGGGGTACTACTACTAGTACTACTACTACTACTACTAGTACCATGGGCGTCGAGCTTTCGTTTGAGCGACAAGGGCGACCGCATGTCGTTTCCCATCGCTTTCGACCGGCGCTCTTCCCGTAGCCGCAGTCTGTTGGTGACGTCCTTGAGCTTTTGAATCTCTTGGGCCTGCGACGTCGTGCACAGCACCAACTGCTTTTGCTCTTGGATCACTGTAGCCACCAAGCAAGTGTTAGCACATCGTCTCAGGTTCAACAACAGACAGGGCTATTCTTTCAAACATGCAAATAATAGCCCTAACGTACATTTGGCATTCATGAGGATCAATTCACGGCGCCGCTCGCTCTCGGCTTGCTGCTGCAACTCCATGTGCTTCATACTGTCCACATACCTAATACATGGCAAGTTGTTAGTGTAAATATGTACTAGTATGTTCATTCACATGTTGATATTCGATAGCATTCTCCTTGTTATAATAATAGTACAACGAACCCTTTCATGGACGGGTCGCATGCAAAGCTGCACGTGCACAGGTGCAGTTTCTACACATACACCAATTATTAGTTGTCAATTCTAAATTTATATATATATATATATTTATATACATTTGGTTGCAAAAGTCTGTTTTGGTGACCGATTTCAGCGATACTTTTGACTTTTTCTGATTCATTGCCACTCATAAATATATAAATATACATATATATTCTAGTACATATATATATATATATATATATATATATATATATATATCCGCATACGGCTGTTTTGGTATCCGACTTCAGTGATACTTTGACTCGTTATCATTAGTTGTCACTCACATATATATATATATACACTAGTACATAACTACATATAAATAAATGTATATTTGGTGCTTGATTTCAGTGATATGTATACCGTTTGGAGGGCTTTATGTTCTTTGCCGAGGGCGTCCAGTTCTCGTTTGAGCGCATTCATCTGCATCTCCATCTTTAGCGACACAGCTTCGTACTCGGCGCTGACGTGGCGCTTTGACGCGTCGTGGTGCTCCTTGTCCAGCAGCATACGATTCTTGGCTTCGAGTCGGCTCGCTTGCACTTCGACCAGTTGCATCGCGTCGTCCTTGGCCTGCATATCGTCGAGGTACTTGGTCTTGAGCGCCGCGACCAGTTGCTCGCCTCGTTGCTCACGAACGGCCATCTGCTCGAGTTTATCCACGAGCGACCTTTGCGCCGTCTCCAGCTCCGCCACGCGTCGGTCGTGCCTGTCCTTGATCCCCACAGCGTCGGCTTCCAGCGCTCGGACTTTGGCATCCAAAGCATCGTGAATGTCTTGGGCCACGCGCATTTGGGTTTCAATCTCGTTCTTGGCGTCTTGGAGGTCGGCGCGCCACGCCACATGAGCCGCGGCATGCGCCGTTCGTTCTGCAGCCCCCTGCCGGGCGCCGTCCGCCGCCACCGCCCGCCACATGGCGGTCTCTTCCATCGCCATGCCCCACGCCTCTGTCGTCCTCTGCAACTCCGCCTCCAGAGCCCCCGTCCGGGCCCGAAGACCTGCCAAGTCGAGGTCGTTGTCCGATATAACATGCTCTAATATGGACCGCTGAGACTCGTTCAGGTCCAACTGGTGCCGCAACCGCGTCACATCCTGCACCGCGTCGTCGTACTTTGCCGCCACGTCGTCCAACGCGGTCGCGACTTCATGAGCATGCATTTTGAACGCATTAAACTCATTCGACTCGGCCATCCACAGCTCTTTCGTCGTCTCCAGCTCCGATCCGACCTTGACCGCCCGCTGCTCGTGCTCCTCCAGCTTGGACATGGCGTCCGCCAGGTTCACCGTCAGATTCAGCAGCTCTTCGTTGAGCTCGTCCCGCACAGCCTCGGCCGCCGCCGTCGCCTCCGTCTGGGTCGCTAGCAGCGCCGCCAATTCCGCTTTGTCTCGATCGAGGGCTTCGATGCCCCGCACGTGATCTTCGATGGTTATCTGAGCATCACGAAGGTCAGCGTTGAGCGCGGCCTCTGCCGTCCGCCACGCCGCCTGCTCTTGTGTCCACTCGAGTGTTTGCTTTTGCATGTCGTCTTGCACGGCATCGCACTTGGCCACGGACGCATCTAGCAAAGACAGTGTCGCATGGTGCTGCGTGCGCAACGCGTCCAAGTCGGCTTCGAGTTGCTCCACCACGCGCTGCGAGTCAAAGTACTTGGTTTCGAAGCTCTTCTTAACGCGGGCCATCGTGTCCAACTCGTCGCCGAGCGCGTCCACCCGCGTAGCGCTTTCAACCGACAGTTGGCTCTTCAGCTTTGCATTTTCTCGACGGAGTTGGTCCAGTACGTCCTCCATGTCCGTGTCCACGAGATGCTCCTCCACTGTGCCAGGCGACGAGGCGGCGGCGTCCTCCTGCAGCTGCTGCTGCTGCATGAGCACGACCAAGTCCTGCTTGGCCTGCACTTGCGTCGATAGCTCGAGCCGGACGCTGTCCAACTCTGCCACGGCCGCGTTGCGTTCAAGTTGTCGGCGACTCGCGAGTACGTCCAGTTCGCGACATCGCACCGCCTAGAGTCAAATGATGTCTGTGACGTGGTGTATGTGACGCTGTTTAGGTGTGTACTGTACCATGTTTGCCAGTGCTTCCTTGGATTCGTCGAGTTTGCGCTGCACCGTCAAGAGCTTTTGCAGCTGCGCGTCTTGGGCGTGCGTCTTCTCGGTCAATTCCGCCGCCTTTTGTTCTAAACGCTGCACATCCGAAATCAGTGTCACATAAACGTCATCTCACATGCATAATCAAACGACAGCATCCACCCCATATTCGGACGTGGGATACACAGCCCCAGTCCATGGGTAGACGGACATACCCGGTTGGCTTCCTTGATGCGTGTCATGTCGTCGAGCTTGGCTTGGTACTTTTCCATGCGCGCTTCGAGCTTGATGGCCTTGTCCGCCGCGGGCTTCAGGATGTCGAGCTCGTCCCGCGCGGCCTCTAGCTCCTTTTCGATGCCGCTGAGGCTGGCCAGCTTGGCCGTGGCGCTGCTGAGCTCGGCCTGCAGGTGCGCCACGTACTCGTCCACTTGCTTCTTGATCGTGCGCTCGTTCTTGGCAGCTTCCACGCGCAGCTCCAGCTTGAGGTTCTCAAACGCATCTTTCCGCGACTCTTCTTCGTCGTGAAGCGTCGCCATCGCGGCTTTGACCTGCACCAGTTCGCGCTGCAGTTCCGCATTCTCGTCCTTCAAGATGTGGTTTTCGCGGGCCATGCGCTTGGTTTCGTTCTTGGAGCAGGATAAGGAGGAAGCGGGAGTGGTTGCGGACGTCGTGGGTGTATGTCGTGTGGATTGGACTGGCGTCGATGGAGGTGGGGTGTCGTGATGATGATGTTCTGTTGTCGTGGTTGCGAGGGTGGTGACGGTGCGGTCACTGTGGGTGGCAGGTTCACTGTCTTCATCATCGCGAAGTAATGTAAACAGCGTCAATTGAATGTGTTCGCTGAAACTGAGCACATCGTTGATGAACGATGCTTGCTGAGCGCCCTTGAACGCTCCGATGCACAGTGCCGACAACGTCCGTTCGAGCTCGAGTTCCGCAGCCGGGGGAGGTCCACCGTGGAGGCCCGAAACCCATGCGCCTTGGTAATGCTCGTGGAGTAGTTCGCTTCGCAACGGCTGGAGAAGATTCAATTCGGTGGCATGGCGGTTAAGAACGGTCAAGATCGAGTCCCACGTGTGCGTCGTGGGGTCGAGTTCACTCGGGAACGCCAATCGTACTACATTGGCCACGCATTCTCCCAGGGACACGCTTCCTGATGGGGCGTTCAGTGGCTTATAGAAGGCGACCCATTCACACAGCGCCGACACACCCATACCGGTATGATGCCAGGAATGAGTGTCTTGGCTTTGGCGGGATTGCAACTCTATGCGAATAGCCAATGAAATTCCCCTCCTGACAAAAAATAGACCAATCAGAAGGAATCACTAGGGTTTTGAATTTTGAAATGCCATTTTCCAAAACGCGCCAACATCGCAGCATTGACCGACCGCCCATCGCCCTCCATGGCGATGTCGCTCTCAGTGCGCTTGGATAGATGACCCTCTGACACGTCTATCGAGCTTCCACCGCTCATGCCGACGGACATGAAGTCACGGACTGCACGTGTCAACTACCGGTATAGACCGAACCGTGCTTGTGTACATCGACAGGTCCAACAGCACGAGCAAATACCATCATGTCATTGCATTACAACTTTACGAGTCCATGATGTTGCAATGAGTCGCATGTTTCTTGCACCATGTCGGTTAGCGAACGAAACCGAATCCCCAGTTCCTGCTCGGCCTTGCTGCAGTCATACAACAAGGGCACAGCGGGGGAACTATCTGTGGACGCCTCTGGGACACGAGCGGACGGACACGCTTGCTGGACGGCGTCGGCAATCTCGTGCTCGGTGGGACAGGCGCCTATAAGCAAGTACCTTCCCGACGCTTGAGGGTTCTCAAATGCAGCAATATGCGCCATCGCCACATCTCGAACATCCACCAAGGCCTTGACAGCATTAAGAATCACCGGCGTGTTGCCGACCATGTAGTCGTAGATCTTCTTGTTGCTTTCATTCAATGCAGGCTGCAACATAGGTCCGAGAATCCACGTCGGACACATCGCGACCAAGTCAAAATGCGGCGAAGTTGTCTGCATGAACTCCCATGCTTCACGCTCCGCTACGGTCTTGCTCAGGCCGTACCACATCTTCCGCTCTGTCATGAGATCCTCGCGACTCCAGTCGGCTTCCGTGAAGACGTGGCTGTCGGGCTTGGTGCCGCAGTGCCCGTACACAGAAATCGTCGACGACGTGAGCACTACGCGTCTTACGCTAGGGGCACGGGCGACGGACCGCAACACATTCAACGTGCCTTGGACAGCGGGTTCCACCAGGTTGTCTCGTGTTTGGTCCGTCAAGAAGAATGGGGACGCTGTGTGCAGCACCACTTCAGCCCCATGGATCGCCTTGTCGAATGATCCCTCCTATGGAATAGATTCGTGTGAGTACGTATCGCATGCACACTCGATCATGGCATACCTGAAGGAAACAAGGTCAAGCGTTCGGCGGCCCCAGGTAACGCTTTCAAGTGCGCGACCTTCGGTTCGTTGCGGGGGTCCCGCACAGTCGAATGGACGCGGTAACCTCTCTCGAGGAGGACTTTGATGCATGTCGAGCCGAGGAAGCCAGAGCCTCCTGTCACGCACACCACATGCTCCTTCTTCCCACTCGCCGCCATGATGTGATTACAGGATTACTGTTAACTTGGTCGAAAGAGAAAATATCGCCCTGATTGGGTATAATGTAAACTCCAAGTTACATACAGTCCTGACAAAAACTATAGACGCACTCAAATTTTTGAATTTTTTGAAATAATATTCAGTTTTGAATCATCGTACTTTGGGATTATACTTTGAATTGGTATCGAATTGTGATACTAGTCTAAAACTTTGAAATCCATTTTACTTTTTTGTAAAATTGAGAAAAACCAGTTTTCAGTGTGATAAAAACTATAGACGCACTGCGATTACATCCAAATAAAGCCAAGTTTCTAGCCACTTTTGCCCAATTAAAGCATTCTAGAACATTCTAAATGTAAGTAATTGCAGTCCTAGCTTGTCAAATCATCATTATTCAAAAACTTTCATGC